CAAAGATAATAATTTATTTAGAAGATCTTTATCTATTCTTAATGACAACACTTGTGAAAATAGCTTGATTGGTAAGGGCTGAGACAGAGGACTTCTGGGAAGAGAAGAAGGGCGTGCTGGAAGAAGGTGAAAAAGCAGAATGAGCACTGAGAGTATAGAGTTAAAATTAAGGAGTGTAAATCTAGAAGCTATTGAACTATTATGCAACTACTAAGGTATTTGAGATGGAAGCTTAGGCTGGGAATTACAGGTTTCCTTCCTTTTTCTAACAGCACCTAGTAGAAGGTTGACGACAACTCAGAACTTCAGCAAGACAGAGTATCAGATACTGATAACAGAAACCATCTCCGTGCCTGCAGAGTCTTTAAACATTTGTGATGGAAAGCACCTGCTTTACTCCCCTGACCGTAACATAAACTTTTCATTTTCACAGTTGATGTCTTCCATAGCGACGTAACTCTTTGAAGAGCTTTTAGATTTACACTCTGTATTTTTAACTTTATATTCTCACCCCTGAGCAGACACCTTACTTGAGGGATGGACTGAACTACGGCGCTGCAGTGATGCAGATGTCAGCCCAGCGAAGCACCTTGTCTCACAGAGCGACGGCTCAGCCACATCCCGCCCCTGGGCAGGCAGCCTGCCTTTTACCTAACAGTCTCACAGTTAAAGCACCCATCCGAGCAGCTGGAGGTCTCGAATAATTCAAATCTACATCTCTTTTTTGACGTACAAGCATTTACCGTGCTGTATTTGCCACTTTTGGAACACCTGGACATTCTCAGCATCTGTGGGGTATATCTGAGTGAGGCAGAGATGCCACGGGGCAGTGGTTTTTGGCACACAGTCCAAATTCACTGTTGGATTTTAGAATTGTTTCTGCACTTGGCATTAAACTGTATTTAGCTACCAAGTGGAAACCGTCTTGAGAAAATGCAGGTCTTTCCGACACTGAGTGCCCTAAGCACTGGGCTTTCAACCCACGTGGGTTTTGCACCCCTCTTCTCGGCCCACAGAAATCCCAGAGCCTTCTCTGGTGCCTCTATTTGACAAGAGCTGAACTTTGTGCAGGGCTCAAACGTTTGAGGATGAGGGAAGCAGGCTCTGAGCCCGTCCTTGGCCCTGCCGCGGTCCGGCACAGTGACTGAGCTTAGTGACGGCTGCGGCAAGTGCCCTGAGCAGAGCAACTCTGGCCACGGGCAGAAACCACACAGGGGGGTCCCTCTACAAACCCGAAACCAGGAGAGCACTCACGGAGTGAATTTAAACATCTCCAGCAGCAGCATCCACAGAGTGGGGTCTGCATATTTTTGTTACAGATGAATCCTGCGTCGGGTCCTTCCATCTCTTCTAGATGCTGGTGTCTGAAATGAGGTCAGGCTGGGAAGAGCCAGTTTCCAGAAGGAGAAGTCTCCTTCTCTGTCATCAGGCTGCTCCAGGGTGTGAAGTCATTTGGTCAGGGAACTGCATCCCTCACAACCTGCTTAGGGAAACCTGGGTGGAGAAGGAGCTAAGGCTCTCCACCTTAACTGCAGCTGAGGATACTCAATTCCAGGTCTGTTATCTGAAAGCCTTTAAAAGTGAAAAGATAAAAACTTAAATGCCCTATTTAGCATTTTATTTGACTGATGCATTAAAAAAAAAGCCGTTTGGCTAAATTAAAACTATTTTATCTGTACCTGACAGGGAATGCTATTAATTGAATGACATTTAAGAAAAAAGAAAGTTTCCAATTTGAATTTTGCTCAGTTCTGCAGGCTGTGTATGATCTGAACTACAGGATTATATTGTGTTATGACATGACTTGGTTGATGTCTTTCTTATAAGTTAGCAATAAAAATTAGTTTACTACATACGAATGCAATCCTGATTCTTCTTACTTCAGCTGGACCTGTAACTAAAGGGAGGAGGGGTTTCTGTAGAACTCAGCTACACAAACGTCTGCTAAAACCTTTTCAAAATACATAAAGAGTTTCATTCTCATTCCAAAATGACTAAGAGCTCCTACACAAGAACCCTCTTGCAACTACCTGGGAAGTACAGAGGAAAAGCACATCGCTTCTTAAAGAGGCAATCCATCATGTCACCTGCTGCCATATCCCCCTGCTTCATAACTTATCTTTATTGACCAAGGAAAATGCAGGGAAAGAAAAACGCAGTCGAGATTTATTAAACATTTAACAAGTCTAAGAAAATATTAAAAATCTCCCCCTTAGACACAGTTATCGATAACTTCTCCTGGAGTGCAGCAAGATGTAAGAAACACCATTACTTTACTTCAGAGATAATGGAGAAGGCAACCACCTGATGTCCTAAGTCAGTGCCTCCCTAAGCGGTTACTGAGGAAATAGCTGGGGCTGTTTTCTAGGCAGCGAAACCACGCATGGAGCTTTTTTCTGCCTCTGCGTGGGGGGGAAATCACGGGCACGCCCAAGGGAAGGCCTGGTGCCGGCACTCGGGGGGGCACTTTCGGGTGCCCGCTCGGGAAGCTTGCCTTGACTGCAGCAACGCTCCGAGCGAGCGGCGTCTGGAGGCAGGGCTGGCGGGAAGCTGACGGCAAGGCAACCTGCAGGTGGGCCCGAGCTGTCAGACCTCTCCTAGGACGGATGGTGCCCGGGGATAGGCGCGTCTGAGGTACCCCCATCGATCCGACAGCGGGTACGGTGCGGGGAGAGCTGTTTACAACCAGCCAGAAACCCCCCCGGCTGAACGGTGGGAACGGCCCAAAGGCGCCAGTTCAGGTGCTCGGGTTCCTGCCCGGCCCAGCGGGAACAGACCTTGCACCTTCTGCTGCCCCCTCCCAGCCGGCCCTTGCTGGCCCCTCAACCAGCTGCCTCCCCCCTCTCCGCGCGGAGCCTTTGCCACAGCCAAGCCTCTCCCTCCACCCAGGGCCACAAAGTCTCCTGCAGCTTTCCAGGTCTGATACCAGATTTCTGAGTCTCGCCGCAGGCTCGCTTGGAAGCCTGCCTTTAAGCCTGACCTTTATATCTTGCCATCCTGCTGCAAAGAATAATACCGATTATAATTTGGGCTTACATTCATTGTGTTATTTGACCTTTTAAAAATAATCATTTTATGTAAGCACCACAAGCAGTTTTAAATATGTCAAAGACTAGTTCGATCACTCGAGAGCACGCTGGGCTGTGCTAGACACTCCGCAGAGCGCGGTGGCTTTGCCATTTTATTATTGCCTCCCTTGGATCTCTCATCCAAGCCTGGTTTTCAAGGTTAGATTGAGGAAGGCATTTCTAGCCTCAGTCTTATAGTGCTAGAGATTTTTTGATGTGCAGGTGATTGAATCAGAATAAAAATTATTGTAGTAGAACTGTTCCTTGGTGATCTATATGTCTGTAGAGAATTATGATGACCGTTGATTGCAACTAAGTAGAACTCAAAAAGTGCCTTACAGATATGCCATCAAAATTTACTTGCTTCTTTTATGATGATTAGGAGGAATATGTTTTAATCGATATAACAGTGGTTTATTGGCATCATGTAATCTCAGTAGATAAGCGGGCCAAATAAAAAACTTTAGCATCCTTCTATGTAGTTCCCCATCACTTTGCTGTCATCCCACTGAAGAGTAAATATAGTGGGTAAATTTATGCCTAATGTAACTGGGGATAAAACTGAATAAGTGGTTGGGTGATTTCAACTCCACCCAAGTACAAAGAACAAAAAGGGAAAAAAAATGTAAATCAGCACTGCCTCAGTTTTGCCAGCATAGAAATCTCTCAAACGGTACTGCTAAAATTAAACAAGTTGTAAAATATCATATGCAAAGCATGTCTGAAAGGTATTTGGAGCTACACTGCAAAGCCCTTTAAACGTTTGATTAACTACAAGGACCTTAATACATACTTGATTAGGTTTATAAAAAGACTTTATTTCTCTCTCTCAAAAATAATAAATATAAGTACTGCAATCAGATAATGAAGTTTTGAATATATGTAACTCAGGATAGCTTTGGGTTAAATTGCTCTGGCTTTTTTTTTTTTTTTTTTTTTCCCCTCAAGTTTTAGGAGAACCGATTTTTCAAATAATTTACGTATCTTCTTCCCTGGTCAACACGGAGCTAAAAATCTTTGAAAATAAAGAATCCCCCTTGGGAAAGCGAGCTCACACAGGTGTTAAGGAGAGCCCTAATCCCCCTGTCCAGAGCACGACGGGTCGCTCTCTCCTTTTACTTCTGGAGAAGTTCACGTCAGCCCGTCGCCCTGCATCGCCCTGCCCTGCCGTCGGCCTACCGTGGGACCGCCGCGCTCCCTGGTTATCAGAGGTTATTGCTCGTGCTCCAGCTATTGAGAAATAGCTTCTGTAGCAACAGGAGCTGCGCGTTTAATATGCTGGGGCTGTAAATCCACCTCCCTTCCATCAATGAATCCTCTCTCCCCGAGACACGAGGCGATCGCCGGGACGAACGCGTGGCTGGCACGCCGAGGGGCCGACATACGGACACTCTACCAACACCTCTAACTGCATTCTCGGTGAGGCATACGCGTGTCCTGAGCCGAAATAACTGAAAATCGTATCTAAACAGATGCACTGGTGACGTGACAAAGGCACGCAACTCCCTCCTGAAGAAACGTGCTGATGGGGTGAAAGAAGAGAAAGCTGTGGGTTTATTTATTCCGGCCCGATAGCTCCAGATAATTTAACCCGCGGCAGCGGTCCCGCAAGGAGCCGCCGTTCCCTGCGCGCCCCCCGCCGCTTTCCGGGTGCCCGAGTTGGGGGGGGGGGGGGGGGGGGGGGGGTCCCCGCCGCCGGTTCGGCCGCCCCCGAGGGGGGTCACCGCGCCCAGCGGCGGCGCCGCCTCCCCCCCTTCCACCCCCCTTTCCACCCCCCGCCCGCCCCTTCGATGCCTCCGGCGCCCACCGGCACCGCCGGGCAGCGGGACCGTCCCGTCCCGTCCCGTCCCGTCCCGCCGGGTCCCGGAGCGGCCCCGCCGCCCGCGGCCCCCCGGGGCCGGCGGAGGCGCCTGCGCGCTGCGGCCGCTCGGTGCCGGCCCCGGCGCTGGCGCCGCCCGCCGCCGCCCGCCCGCTTCTCCCTATTTTAGTCACGGCGGCGGCGAGGAGCGGCGTTTGGAGCCCGTCTCCGTCCCGTCTGGGCGGCCGGGAAACTTTTCCGGAGGGGCAGGTAAAGGGGGGGGGGGGGGGTCCCCTCTCGCCCCGCTGCTCCCCGGGGACACTCGCGGCCGCGGGACCGGCCGTCGGGGGAGGGCTCGGCGGGGCGCGACGGGGCGGGCGGGTCGGGGCGCTCCCTGCCCTTGGTGGGTGTTTGGGGGGGGGGTGGTGGTGGTAGGTTGGGGGGCGGTCCGGCAGTGCGAACCGGAGCGCCCGAGTTTGGCCTCGGCGAGAAGTTGGAGGGCTTCTCCGTGCCCCCGTTTCGGAGGGGGGGGGGGGGAGGGGAGGGGAGGGGAGGGGGGGGGGGGGGGGGGGGGGGGGGAGGGAGCCCCTTGGCTCTCCCCCTCCCGAGGGCTCTGCCAGAAGTGAGGCTCTTCCTTAACGCGTCTCGGCTTTGGGGTTTATTTCTTAGGAAAACGGCGTTTCTGGGTTCTCCTCGGGGGCAGCAGCTGCCCGCTCAGGCAAGGGCTGACTCGGGGAGTATCTCTACTTCCACAAAACCGACCCGGGACCCGGGGATTTCCGCCACTGACTGGGGGTTTCCCTTCATAGGCTGCTGTTATTCGATTCTTCTCTCTCCCCATCAACAAATGGTAAGAGCAGATGAACCCTGAAATTAAGATCCAGTTTTGCATTTTCAGTTGTTTCTTTCCAAACATAGAACGAGCAATACAAAACACATCTTTTCCCCAAACTATAATATTTTTTTTCCAAGCATATTTTCCCAAGCTATAATATTTTACCACGTTTTCCTCAGCTGTTCTGTAAAGCTTTGTGTGCGTTTAGGCTGTCAATCACTTTACGGGCAAACAGTTTATATAGCTGATCTCTTGTAATACTGAATCATGGACCACCTGGTAGTGTTATAAAGATGTCATTGATGAAATCTGGCTTCCAGAACTAGGGCTTCTTGCCACTCTGTTGATTAATGGGAATTATGGTTGTATACATGCAAGTAAAAATGTCTTCACTGACCGCAGCGAAACAAGAAATGGTTTCCACATCTGCAGAACTGTTGCTGTTCAGGCTTTCCGCAAAGTTCTGTCTGGTGCCAAATAATAAAGTAGCTTAAAATGTCAAGTTTTAAAGGAATGTCTTGCCGTCAAAACAGCAAGTACATCACAAGTCCTGTAGCTAGCGAGGAGAGTAGATACTGAAACAGAAGGAAATGTGATACAGGTAGTTGTGAAGGCAAAGTTTGGGTCAGGAAAACTTTTTATGATGAAAATTGAGAAAAGAAAGCTTATTAAGGATTCAAGAGAAGGGTTGTTAGCTGAAGCTACGTTTAACCTTTTTATTAAGTGTGCTGGCTCTCCGGAGACGAGATGTTATTTCATCATTTTAGTGTGTTCCACTACCTTGTGAAAAAGAGCTCTGGTCAGTGCCTCCAGGTGATGACACAGTACCTGTAATTGGGCATGCTGCTGCTGCTGCTGCTGCCCAAATGAAATTCAGGTATTATAGAGTGAACAAAGCCTGGGTTTGTGATTATATTACATGATGAAACTAAGAGTATTCTGGCTGTTGTAGATAGAAAACTAATGAAAGTGATGCTAAACCAGTGCCCTCTGCCTGGCTGTGTTTTGTATGTAAAGCCATATGACACTCATTCCAGCAAAGCAGAGAGCAGGACTGTGCTTCTAACCCCAAGCCCTCCAGTAAAGATAAATAATTTCAGCAGCTCCATTAGAGCATCCTTGCTAACTTTCACTGTGTTTCGCTCTGGTTTAGAGCTTGCAGGGCTCATAAATGTGGCATTTCGTGGCTCACCGTGCTGTTTAGCTGTTTGAACACACTGCTTCTCCGTAATCCAGCTGTACGTGCAGGGGTAGTGCGATGAACCAAGCCTCTTCTGTGTTTATTTCTTTTTTGGGAAATGAATTTCAGGTCAGGTGGTTGGTTTCACGGGAATACGTTCCCGTCCAAAGGCACTGCTACACCGTAGAAACTCATTTAAGTTGAATTCTGCAGAGTTCAGCTATAGCTCGTTAACACAGTTTTAAAGCACTTGTGAAACATGCGCTGTAGCTGCTGCTTTCGCTATTACTAATTTCAAAGTTGAACTGTAGAAAAGCCTGAGCTTGTATTGACTTCGCAGTTTTTATGATAAAACACAGTAAAACAGACCCCCTGAATTATTATTTGGCCAACGCTGTTCAATATACAAGAGCCATGCTCAAATTTACCCAAGTGCTAGCAACCCATAGTTAACTTAAAAAATATCTGACTGTCATTCCGTATTCATGTTTCCTAGGAGTAAAAGACCTTTAAAAAAGGAGGGAGGGGAATATTCTTCTTAGTTTGGCAGGAATACCACTTATACTTACGGTTCATCAGTTCTGTTTCAAATTGGAAGAAAATCCGTAATTTTTTTTTTTTTAAATCAGGTACTGTCTAGATGATAAAATAGATGGCATCTTCGATATTGGCTTTGCAACCACGGAGGACTGCATTGTATATTTTACAGTGATAAATGAGGAATCGTTCAAGTACTGTAAGCTGTGTATAGTAAGCTGGTCTTTAAATATTTAAAGACTAAATAATAGCAGCTTCACTGTATGCAGTACTTCTAATGAACCTTAAAGTATTCTGTATTGCAGCGGTGTTTCTTTCTCTCTTGATGCCTCCCCCTGCCCAGCTTTCTTCCACTTCTTAAAAAGATGAGCAGGAATTGGAGCAAATTGTAAGTAGATTCGGCCTTCCCGGCTGCAGCCGGAGAAGCTCAGTGACTGGGAAGTTCCGTGAAGAGGCTCCGGTTGAAGCTCTCTGCTTTGGGGAAAGCAGTTCTGCCTCCGCTGCAGCAGGGAGACAGGAGTCGGGCCCAGCCCTGGTGAGGGGGACAACCTGTCACCAGCCTCGCGCCCCGGGTGGGTCGTTCGCGTGGCCCGGTGGCCTCAGCGTTGAGGTGGCACTGGCGTGTCTCCAGGGTTAGGCGGCAGCTGACTGGGGGGGGGGGGGGGGGGGGGGGGGGGGGGGGGGGGGGTGTTTCTTGGTCGAACAACCCCGAACGTGGGAGCTTAAAGCCTGCCTGACCCGAAGCGGGGTTTTGGCCCCGAAAAGTCCCGCTCGGCTGGTGGTTGTTTCTCAGAGCTGCCCCGAAGGCGGTGAAGCCCCGCTGATGGTTGGACACGCCCCAGCTGCTTGTCCTGGGGCTCTGAGCATTCCCACGCTCTCCAAGAAGGTAGCGCTTCACATGGATGCTCTGGGGGGGGGGTGGGGGGGGGGGGGTCCAACTCAACAATTTTGGCCGGTACTGGAAGGACTGGGGAGGGTGTGGGTTGGCCGCTTTTCCAACGCCCTGAGGTGCTTTACGTTTCAAGTGCCAGCATGAGCTCAGAGCACTGCTCCGGGGGGGTGAGGCATAGCCGCGAGACATCAGGGCCAACAGGACGCCTTCCTCAGCCCAAGGGAGTGCGGAGCCGTCCTCCCTCCTGCCACGAGGGTGCCCCGACTGACTCGTTTTGACTTGGGTGGGTGGGTCACTTGCTGCCCTACCTTGTTGAAGCTGAGACGTTGTGCAGAAAGAGAGGCCGAGGGAGGGGGAACCACGATGCAGTCGCTCTTCGTTCTGCGGTGGGGAGGCTCTCTCGGGGAGCGGGGTGCTGGGGATCCTGCAGCTCGGCTGCCAGGCTGGCATACGTGTTTCGTGCTAAAGCGTTCACTCGTAAAGCGTCCTTTTCTCTGAAAAACATTGTCAGGAAGGGATGCCAGCTTCACATGGATGAAGGTTTCCTCTGGGAGGTCTGTATGAGGAATAGTTTCAGTGATATTACCCGTCTGCAGTGTTTTGTGTTGTCTAAAGTAGCTGCTTAGCTGGTATCCGAGATAGGCTTCTAGATTTCATTGGGAAGACCAGCTATGTAAGTTTCTAGGTACATACAACTTTTTTATGTTAAGTAACTTAAGACAGAAGTCCAGAAGACATCGTTGCAACCAGCTAATCTGACTTTATGTGGAATAAAAAACAGAATTGTAGTAAATCAAGTAGTTTTTTAATAATAGCATACCCAAATTTATTTTAGGTACCAGACAGCATCCTGACTTCCCTAATTCCCAGCAAAGGATATCTTTGAAGACATCTCATTAATTAATTACCTTTGCTAAGTATGCTTGTGTGTCTTTGTAATCTGAATATATCTAGTTTTATAGTGACTGATTATCTCGGTACCTTTGTCTTTTGGATTGGGTAGTCCTTTTCTTCCTCGTGCTCCTTCCATCTCCCTGAATAGATGTTATAGACTGTGATGAAGCTACTGTAGTCTTCACTGTATTACGCAGGCTGCATTTTCTCAGGAAAACCTTGTGTTTTCCAGTATTGTAATTCTAGGATATAGCCTCTAGAAGTTTAAGGTAAGCTAGCTTGGGTTGTTAGTTCCTGTCCTTATTGCTGCATTCATGTTTTGAGCCTGCAGTGGGTTCAAGGACAGTTTGTCACTGAAAATAGCTTGTTTGTGTGCCCCTACTTGCCCGTAGACGCGTAGCCATACATCTCTGTAGGTGCACAGCTCCTCCGTGCACCGAGTTAGACACTGCATTGCAATTAAGAGTTTGGTTGCCTCGATCCCTTTGTGTACCTAACCTCAACTGAACAACTGCAGAAGGAAGTTAGCTTGGGGAAAACATGCTGCGTAAGCAACCTCTGAGAGCAGCAGGGGACCAGAGAGAGGATTTCGGGAAAACCGTCGGGGCAGTGGAAGGAAGGGGCACTTTAATCGATATACGCATTTACACGGCGTGTTGAAGTACTTGCTGAAATTAAGGAGCGGCTTCTTTTTGTACATCTACACGATGGCCAGACCAGAAATAACTTGTCAGCCTAGATGGTGTGCTCAGAGCTCATCTCTCTGGAAGCAGGGGGTGTCGAGGCCGGGAGGGACCGCTTGGTTCCTGGCAGAGTTGCTGGAGCAGCGAGCCAGGCTGTGGCCACAGGCTCGTGTACAAACATCTACACTGCAGATGGCTAAAACCAGTGAGACAAATCCTGCTAAATCCAGCCTAATCTCGTTTTGTACATGAAAGCAGATATGCCGCAAAGGAAAAAATCTTCCCTTTTGCTTCCAAACCTGTAGCAAACAATTTGTCCAGGCTGGATACATGGTCAGCATGTACAGCTCTATGGACTGTCAACATGTACAGTGTGAAAGTGCTGAGGGCTTTCTGGCTGAATACTTGGGATAAGACAACTAAAGAATGGAGTATTTGAACCCTGAATAGCTTTGCTTTTGACTTAATTAAAAAGACCAAAGAGAGAACTGCTGGTAGCCCAGGGCTTTCAGGGTTGGTGTTTAGTTTTTTTTGGTTTGGTTTTATTTTTTTTTTTGTAGAAATTATTGTGATCCAGACACAGTAACTAACACTCAAAGCTTCTCAGAGTTGAATTTGAGTCATCAGTGACAAAAATGGGGCAAAAGTACCCAGGTCTCAAGCAAATTAAAAATATATGTAATTGGTAATTCTTTGTGGGAGTACTGCAGTGTATGGGGAAAATGCCCATTTGGGAAAGGGGGGGGTGGGTTGTACTAGGTGCACTTAAATTGTAATATGAATTCATTCTGTATTGACTGTTTTAGTATACTGCTTATATGGAGTTTTAAGTGGCTGGCAGGTATTTATTTCGGAGAGTATTAAGTGAAATCTTCCATTTACTGCTTTGACGCTCCAGCAAACTCATTGTTTTTAACACTCTCTGATGACAGCTTAGGCCTTTCGGTAATGCTGCTGTTTGTTTTAAAGAGGTCCATGCCACTGTATATTGCTCATATCTCTAGTCTGGGCTGATTTTTCCCAGCACTTGGTCTGCTCCTGCTGGAGAGGGTGGGATGTGTGGTGGGGGAAAACACTCAGAGGCTTCTCAGTAATTCAGCCTGTGTTGGCAGACCCCTTCCGTGCACCAGCAGCTTGCAGATGTCAATGTTGTGTTGTTCTGAACATGGCAGTCACATAGCAGAGACCGTGCCTGCGCGTGGATGCTGCTCCTTCTCCCTAGGCAGGGGACAGAGGAGAAAGTATTCAGCATTTACTTGGGGAAAATACAGTTCTTCAGGCTTATAATCTAAGATACCTGCTCTAAAGGCACTTTCCTGCCGAGGTTCACCCGATCACCACCATCAAATGAACCTGTAGCCATAACTGTTCACCACAGCCAGGGCAAGTGAAGCGGGGCGTCGGATAATCCGTGTCGGTGGGCACGTTCCCTGCCCTGGTAGCTAAGAACGCCGAAAAGTCTCAGTGAAAGGACGGTGTCCCCTTTGGGTGCTTACAAACTCGGTAATGCCATGCTACTGTGGGCGCTTTGGAGATGGGTCGTCAGTGGAGGATGACCCACAGCTGGTTGGTTGGTTGGTTGTTTTTTTGTTTTGGGGGATTTTTCTCTCCCCCCCCCCCCCCCCCCCCCCCCCCCCCCCCATCCCTGCTTGCAGTGGATGAATGGCTTAATTACAGTGACTGTTCTGAAGTCCTCAACAGTTTAAATTCTGGACTTGTAGGAACTATAAAGAAAGAGGTGAAAGGCCTTATCTAGCACTAAATACCAATCAAAATTAGAAATTTTACAGTACTTAGGCCCATGCATACTATTGTCTCTGCTCTGTTTAATACTTAATTAAAAAAAAACTACCAACAATTTTTAATCTCTCAAATCTTAGAATAATTGCTTGATTAAAAAGAGGTGAATCCTCTCTTTCTGCCTACGGTTCACTGGCAGCAAGCATGCCTGCTCCTCACTGTAGCCCTGAGAAACCACCTCCAGTTTAGTAGTAAGCTTCGTCAGTATTTCCAGGGGGGTTTGTTTTTGCCAGCACATCTTACATAGCTCAGGAGAGTGTCATGTTGGTGAGGCTGTTTTCTGTGCTAGTGCTGGCCTCTCTCCTTTGCCTTTCCTCCTGCCTGGGCGGAGGGAGGCCCTTTCCATCCTGGGTGATGCTGTAGCACAGTAAAAGTTCTCATTGTGCACAACTACTGAAATAAGTGGGAATTTTGCATAAAGTGGTTTTGGAAGACAAGCCCCATTCCCAGAATGAAGAGTTACAAATACAGGACAGTTTTTCCAGGGCTTTGGTTTTGTTTATGATGACCTTCTATCTGTGTCCTAGTGGTGTGCTCTTCTTTCCTAATTATTTTCACAGTATCCTAGAATACCAGCTTGGAAAGGATCTCAAGGATCACCTGAGCCAACCTTTCTTGGCAAAAGCATGGTCTAGACAAGATGGCCCAGCACCCTGTCCAGCTGAATCTTACAAGTGTCCAATGTTGGGGAATCCCCCACTTCCCTGGGGAGATTATTCCAGTGGCTGATTGTTCTCATTGTGAAAAGTTTTCCTCTTGTGTCCAGTTGGAATCTCCCCAGGGGTAACTTGCACCCATTACCCCTTGTCTTTTCCATGTGATTCCTTGTGAAAAGGGAGTGACCATCTTCTTCGTAGCCGCCCTTTAAATCCCGGAGCGTGGTGATAAGGTCTCCCCTAAGCCTTCTCTTCTCCAGGCTGAACAAACCCAGTTCTCTCAGCCTTTCCTCATCTGGCAGGCTTCCCAGTCCCTTGATCATCATTTTGAACCATCTTGTCCTGAATAGATGTTTTGTAGCAATACTATGAGCTGTAGTGTGGGCAGAACTGTGACTGCTATAAGCAAATTGGAAATTGAACATAAATTTTGTGAAATTACTGCAACGTCATGTCACATTATTGCAATGTGTGACTTTACATGACAAAAAGACGTTGGTAATGGAAAGTAGATTACAGTATGGATTCATGGTGTTTTTGGTTTTGGCACGCATACAGCTTACCATGTAACTTATCAGTCATGGTTCCATTCAAATCACTGAATTTTTTGTAGAAATTAGGGTCTTCATGAGAACTGCTCAGCACAAAAAGTTCGAAATAGAGTAGAAGTATTATCAATAATCCAGAATCACTGTTAGCAATTATTCTAAAAAAAAAATGAAACGAAACTCTTCTGCTGCTGATTTTTTGACCGTGCAGTGGAAATGCTGACTGGATTCAGAACACAGCATCTGAGAACTGCATGTTCCAGTTTTATTTTCTTTTGGTTCAGAAATCTTACCCCTTGATCACAAAAGAAGCACCTAAAATTCCTCATGCTCTTGCCATGCGTAGGTAACTTCTTTGTAGCTGATGCTGTACTCATCTCCCATTCTCCAAGGGCTAAATCCTGCATCAGGGGAATCCTGTACCAAAGGAGAGTATGTGGGTAAAGAGACAAACAGAAAAGCTCATAGTTACGAACTACCTCATTCTTGTAACTGCTGGTTCTTCCACTGTAGTAGGATATCAAGCATTTTAATTTGGAGAGGTTCCGTGCTCTTTAGCTGTCATATTTTTATGGGTCAGTGACTTCCTTATCACCACTCCCAGAGGGGGAAAGGTCTCCTCCTAACCTTTTCTTCTGAACTCTTCCACTTGGTTGTTTATGATTTTATGTCTTCATTTAGCATTAGTGTTTTTGAATCATGGAATTAATGTTGACGCTTGAATAAACTTAAAAGAAGTAAAGCTGTGGCACCTAGAAAATGTGATACAACTTTGCTTTATTAATTTCTTAGACCTATCACTGTAAAAAAAAAAAAAAAAAAAAAAAAAAACAAAACAAACAAAAAAAAACAAAAAAAAAAACAAAAAACAAAACACCACTGAAAGCCCTGCTGAATGATGTTGGATGCTTCACTGCACCATCAGTACTTTATAAATATTGATTTCTGTGGCTCTTGGGGAAAAAAAAAAAAAAAAGCTACCTTTGATATTCTAGAGAATCTAATAATTTAGATAGCAAGATATTTCATAGCTTCCCTGCTGTTTTAACCAGGAAAAGAACCAGACAGTTGAAGACTTTGGTGGGTTTCAGTCCTGATTATGCTAATGATAGACTCTGGCTTTGCAATTTCTACCATGTCTAATCTGTCACTGAAGCATGTATTTTTACTTTAAGAGACATAGAAAGCTGTTTGTTTGTTTGTTTGTTTTTAATTTTATTTTGTTTTCTTTGGTGCTTTTTGGTTGTGTATTCTACTTTTTATTTAACTCTAAGGAATACATTATCATATGGAAACAAAGAGCATGCTTAACATTTTCATAGTGTTGAACAATAGAATTGTGTGATCTGTGGCATGAAATTATAAAAGGTAGAACTCTGAATGTCATAAAATTGCTTTGTAAATGCCTTGTGAGAAGTATTTTGCTGGACTACTTACTTGACGTTTTAATAACATAATCTGTGTAAAGCTGCCTTTAAACTTTGTAGTCTTCATTATACACGACAGCTTCTTGCCCGTCATCCTTGGAGTAGAAAAGACCATCCCCAGTTTCCCTTATTGTGGTGTTTGGGGATGTAGTTTGTTGTCTTCAGGGACAGGGAGCAGCCTTGCTCCACTCATTAACGAGAGTGGTTTGATGGAAATCCAGAGCGAGAAGGAGGAGGTGAACAAGAAACAAGAGTTCACTGTCAGTTCTTGTCCGAGAGCTAGGTGGGGCATTAAATAAGGCTCACAGGCAGCAGGTTCAGGACAAGCAGATGCAACTACCTTCTCTGCAGTTAGGCTGCGAAAAGGTTTCTCGGAGGATGCTGTGGATGCGATGTACAGGATTACATGGATTCAGTGGTGATTCGACGGTTGCTACTGGGATCGTAGGTACAGAAGGGTGATTTTTCAGCTGAATAAATACTAAGGCTTGCTCCTGGAATCACAGGGCTACAAGGGGAATTGGAAGATTGCAATGCAGTCTGTGGTTTTAGAGAATAAAAGCTATGATAGACTTTAATTGATGAAAATAATTTTACAAGTAACTTGTCTTTTCTTCACTTGTCCAGATCAGATGAAGTTACAGATGACATGGCCAAAGTCAAAACAATGCATGAACTGATGAGAAACAGCATTGCCTTCTGAGAACGTTAGCTTCCTAGTTGCTGGAAATCCTAAGTGTGACTTTACTACCAAAGGAGAACCTGATGTTATGTGATCATTGAGCAGAGTTTGCCAGAATGGAAAAGCGAAGGACCCTGCTAGCTGCATCTCATAAATAAAAATTTCCAAGATTCAGCTGAGCCAAAAAATTATTCCAGCCATGGGAGAAAATGCAAGTTTTTGGGAAAGTCTGATATACGCCCATCCCACGTGTACCACCTGGAAGCAAGAGGCAGAGGGATCTATCTACCACCTAGCTAGTATTCTCTTTGTTGTGGGCTTCATGGGTGGAAGTGGATTCTTTGGGCTTCTCTATGTCTTCAGCTTGCTTGGATTGGGCTTTCTCTGCTCATCTGTTTGGGCTTGGCTGGATGTCTGTGCTGCTGATATATTCTCCTGGAATTTTATACTGTTTGCTATATGCTTCGTCCAGTTTATTTACGTTACCTACCAAGTTCGGAGTGTTTCCTTTGACAGAGAATTCCAGGAACTCTACAGCGCTCTCTTCCAGCCTCTTGGAATTTCCTTGACTGTCTACAGAAAGATTGTCTTGTGCTGTGATGCAGAAGTGGTTACCCTGGAGAAGGAGCACTGTTATGCCATGCAGGGCAAAACACCGATTGATAAACTGTCCTTGCTTGTGTCGGGCAGGTTTGTATCAGCTCGTTCAGACTTACTGCAAATGTCTTTATTTTTTCCTCCTTCTTGAAAATGGAAGAAGCAGGGGAAAAAAAAACCTGATTCGTGTATTGTTTGTTCATTTTCCAGTACAATAGATTAAATATTAATGCAAGTAATATAAATATTAATAGGCTAAATACACTTGTCTAGTACAGCACTAGCGTAAAAACACTAAGCACAAAATCTGAAATAGCATAAAGAAAAGGATTTTAAGTCATTCTTTTCCAGACCACTGTATCATAGCACTTAACAGGTTAGGCAGATAAAAGGAACAAATGTTTGCTTCAGTCTTCAGGCTATGGTTTGCTGTCTATCTACTGCCTTGCTGATGAACACAGCATCAATCTTATTTTTCTTTGCTGGTATCATCTAAAGCAGGACTAAAAGTAGTGATGAAACTGAATATACTGAGATAAACTCTGTTTAATAGAGAGCTTGACTTTGATATGGATTGTATTTGGTTGCTTTCTGGGGAGTGGGAGAAGAGAGGGAGTAAGGGAGAGCAGAAGGCCTAAAAGCGCCCTTCCATTACAAGGGAACATAGTCGAGCGCTTTCAAGCTTTGCAGAATTGAGTCTACTGTATACTGTGGCCCTTAGTCAGATCCTGAGGCAATAAATCCACCTGCTCGTACTCCCTGCTCATTTGGACACCTTATTTGGCAACCTTGCTTATGTTTTCCTGAGGGGAAACGCTAGCTTTCGTACTGTCCGCAAAGGGGTATACAGTACTGGACCACCACAAGAATAGATGGGATACCCAGAGAGGATGGCCATGGTTTGTCTTTGATGGGACCCCTTAGAGGTGCATTTTGTCAGCCTGCTGCATGGACAGATGGAATTGGTAGGCAGCTTGAAACTCAGCTGATTTAGGACTACTTGCAGTGAACAATACGGATTTTAGGTAGTTGTCCTTAGTGACACCCAGGTTCCGAGCATTCTTGGGAGCTGTCTGGAAAGTACCACGTGGAGGTTGCTTTTGGTCATAGTCATACTGAAGGAGAGGTGTCCATCCTTCTACATGCCCAGCCAGTTAGTTACTGTGAAGGGAGTTCCTGCTACCCTCCTTCACACTTCTGGTTTTGTAAGGAGCATTAATCTTTGTGCAGAGCAGATATAAAAAGGGGACTTCTACAGCTTGCTTTTTTTCTTTTAGCTCGTGAGGTTCGAGCATAGATTTCTTGCTTGCATGCCTTCAAACTTAAATATGATATTAAAAGTAGAAAGAAAATCTTCCTTTGGCATCTGCAGAAGGCCACAGCATTCGCTCTGAGATCCCATACCTCCATGCTGGTCTTCTGGCTCCAGAGACAGTCCTGTGGCTGTGTAATTCCTGTTAAACATTGGGAGTGCCCTACCTAACACGTGCTGTGGGAACTCCTGCTTCCTACTCCTTGCTTTTGCCACTTTGTTCCCATTAAAATAGGTATTTGCCAAACCTAGAAGTATATCCCATGGCCTTCAAGTGAAGGAAGGCAAACGGTGTTACGTGCATTGGTCTTTCACCTCTCCAGTGCATTCTGGCCTTCTCATGACAAAGCTTGCACATTGCTGGACAGACCTGCCCCAGAGAGAATAATATGGCCTGGAAAGGTTTCCATTTTGCTTGCAGCATCGTCTTGTAGTAACTTGCAACTGACCTGACCAAGTTGGTTTTAAAAATATAATTTGGATACTGTTGGCCGGTGATTGCTTTTTCATGCTCTCAAAGCTATATTTAAACTCCTCACATAGTAAAAATAACACATTCTTGTCGCAGTCGTTGCTGCTGTACAGGTAATACTAACAAGTTAACGCATCTTATCTTGGTAGGATCAGAGTGACAGTTGATGGGGAGTTTCTGCATTACATTTTTCCTCTTCAATTTCTGGATTCTCCTGAATGGGATTCACTGAGGCCCACAGAAGAGGGAATTTTCCAGGTAAAAGTGGAAGGGGTTCTTTCTGAATACAACAGAAAACTGTTCGAGTACTAATCTGTTTAGAAATAAGTTCATTTAGTTGTGGGTTTTGTTTGTGAAATTATAGAGGCAAGTGGCATCCCATTAATATGGGGAGGGAAGTCCTCTTGACCCCCTGGGCTGGTTATGCTGTTTGCATCTTCTTTCTGTTTGCGCCTTGTTGTTACAACAAACGGGTTTTTTTCTTAAAGCGAATCCGGGAGGTAGGTTCTATTTCCGTTCTTTGAGCTGTGCCAAAATCCAGCCCTGAAAAAAAACGGGTTTGCAGGAGGCGGGTGGAGGTGGTTGTCGCTGAAGAGGCTTCTGGGCTGGGGGGGGAGCCGGTGCCTGCGGTCCAGCTTTGGCACGGGGGGGTGGGACAGCGTGGGACACGATGCGGGTGGGGGCTGCCCGCTGTTTATCCGTGACCCCCGCTGCTGGCGCTGGACTGACGCGCCTGGCTCCTGCCTGAGTGGGACCCGGTGTCTCGTGTCACGAGGGCGAACGGCGGCGTTCGTCGGGAGCTTTCTTTAGACCTGCCTTGCCATCTGGGGCTGCCGGGGGTGAAGCGGGGAGTGCAGGCCCCGGGGCCACACCGCCAGCCTGCGTCCTCCTGGCTGGGGCTGCCGCTCGGCACCGCCACGGGCACGCTGTCCCCGGGGCCGACAGGACGCGCAGGTCCTTCGGTCCCTTCCCGGCCACCCTCCTCGCCTGCCTTTTCGCAGACACTAGACTTGACAGAGGGTTCTGCCTGGATGGAAGGGCTTCAGCTGCAGTAGGTGCAAAGATGCAAAGCGTACGTGTCGTGGTTTGCGTGCCGGGGGGGTGCTCTCTGAGCAAAGGCGGCGGCAGCAATATCACTGCCTTCTCAACCGGCTGGCTTTAATTTTTTTTCTCTTCTATAGGTAACGCTCACAGCAGAGACGGATTGTCGGTACGTGGCCTGGAGGAGAAAGAAGCTGTATCTGCTGTTTGCTAAACACCGGTTCATCTCCCGCCTGTTCTCAATTTTAATTGGGAGCGACATCGCTGAAAAACTGTATGCCTTGAATGACAGAGTGCACGTGGGGAAAGGCTTTCGGTACGACATTCGGTTACCGAACTTCTACCACGTTTCACTGCCAGAGACCCCCCTGGTGCAGCCCTCCCACCACCTACAGAGAGGGTCCCCCCGGCGGGAGCCCACGGGGGTTACAAACTGCCGCTCCTTCAGCACGCAGCCCTAGGAAGGGAAACTCTGCTGCAGCCGTTCCCCAAAGCCGTGAAGGGAAACGCAAAGTGGTGAAGCAGAAGAGCAAAAAGGTGAAGCAGGATGAGACCCAGTCAAGCCAAATTTGACTGACAAGTGCCATTTACTTTCATTGGAGTAGCTTGAATTCTTCCTCTCTCTAGAGCCAGCGGGTTGGCTTCTGCATTTTGACTGTGCAATATGTTCAGTTTCTGTTGAATCTTTTGTTGACTTTTGTCTCCTTGCTTTTGAAGGAAAACAAATCGTAACAGGCTGAAGTTTCATTGTATCTGTGGTGGCCTCTGTGTTGTATTTTTTTAAAAAAAAACAGACTCGCGGTATTTGTAATTACACTTTCTCAAAATTATTTGCCATAACGTATAGTCAGTATAGTCAATGAAAACAAGTAAGTTGTCTTCAAAATACAGCAACTTGCTTGTAACGTTGATGTTTATGCCTGTAACGTTGATGTTTATGCCATGTGAACATTGTCTCTATTAACATGAAGAATATTGCAGAACAAGACTAAGAGACCAATTGAATTGGTTTTGTTTTTTAAAGAGATGAAAGATTTTTGACACGAACAGCAAGATTCTTAAAAAAACCAAAACCAAAACCAAAAAACAAACAAGCAACAAACAAACAAAAGAAAACAACAAAATTCTGTCCCATGAGCAATTGGTTTCTTTCTGACTGTCCTAAAGAGGTATTATGTGAAAACAAACACAAATGTAATCACTGGCATTAGAGAAGTAAAGCCATTTTAAGTACTGCAAATATAGAGCTTAGGGAAATATTTGTATAGTGTTTCTGATAGAATGTGATGCTCTAGGACCTAGGCTTCTGCCGTGTCGGTGCCATTCATGACATGTACAGTAAATACTGTTAATCAGTCAACTGCCAAACCATTGGAGTTTGTTTTACGATATTCTTTTTAGCCGGGTTTGTCAGGAAGAAACTGAGAAACAACCGCAGCAATAAATACAATTTTTAACCAAAACATTGTTGTTCAGCTTCCAGAATCGCTTTTTGATGCCTATGAAATTCTTGATTTAAAAGGTATTCTCTCCCTACTTCTGTGGTGGTTTAATGGCAGAAGGGAGCACCAGCTCATGCTTCAGTAGGAGAGAGCTGGTTTTGACCCTTGAGGTCACTGTGCCTTTGGGGAGGAGTGTCTGAATGTCTTTGCTAACTTACCTTTCTGCTGCTATGCCTGATGCCTGCCAGTAATCAAAAAGTAAGAAGCATTACTATTTTATGAGACTATTGCTGCTTGATATATGTGGAGGTAGATGACATTTTTAATATTTTAAAATTGCTGGACTGTTTGGTAGGACAGCCATTGTGTGTTTGTGTATGTGCGGGTATACATATGAGTTTAGATCTTGGGGGTTGTTGCTGGAGGACCTTTATGATACAACTTCATGCTCGAAAGATAATCATGCAGTAGGTCTAAGAAAGCCATTAGAAGTGGCATGAAACACTACCTGTTTGAAGGACCTTCAGTCTAGGGCAGATAACGTTGTACAAGTGTTGCTTTTAGCTTAGTGTCCCTTCCTCGGAGAGGAAAATCTGCCAAACATAAATACCATAGCATGTGAAGTGATAATTCCCAAATTCTTCTAATAACCCTTCCACCCGATGTGTTCTGTATGCACCACTTAATGTGTGAAGTCCCCGAGTCACAAAGCTACTCTGTCTTGGTCAAGAGAGAATTGAAAAAATGCAGACGGAGAATGCATTGACGGCTGTCGAGGACCAGCGCAGAAAATAGCTAAGGCACAAAGTGCCAGAGGCTGACAGTGCATGGTAAGGACGTACAGCTGTGTGTGCCCTCTTCCTATACTTTTCACAGTTAAGGGACAGGCTAGCGGGCTACCTGATCCCTTGGCGTGATTCAGCACGGGTATTGGAACTTCAGTGCTGTGATTAGGATCACGTCTTATTTGTCGGCGGTGCCCGGTGCCTGAGGTAAGTAAGAGGTGTGTCATCTCTGGGGGCTGTTGTCACTTAGGCTGTACCTCGCTATCCCCACTGTGCTTCACCTGGCTGAGCCGCTCTGAAAACCTTACACTGGTTTTTAACAGGTGATTTAAAAATAGAGCCCACCTCTCATTCTGATAAAATAACAAGAATTTATAAATTTCTCGTGCTGTAACGTATGTTGGACCAATATGAAGCTTATACTTAATGCTTTATGTGTTAACAATCTATAAATTTAAAAAGATTATAGTCTAGAAACATAAAAGAGGTGTTATTCTAGATTTAGGCATAATATAAATCATCAATTAATGCTCTCTTTGGTTTTCTTGAATATATGGGCTTGTCTCTCTACTAGGACATGTCTGAGTCAATATCTGAACATACTCTTAGCTAATCTTGTTTAGCTTTTTGCAACTGTGTTTTTTGGGCTTTGAGTCACTTTTTAAAAATTGTTTCCAGTTTTCCAGCATCTGTTTCAGTTATGACTAGCAGAACACTTCAGCTGTAGAATTCAGGGCATATAAATCGACAGTAACATAGGTACGCACGAAAGGGCTGGAAGTGAGACAGCAAGCCCTCTCCACCTCTGTTTTTTTAAATCTTGACAGCACTTCTAAAATGTACTGTAAAATACGCTCGGGTATGTGACTCATAAACCAATGTTTTGGGAGGGCTGTATAATCCACCTAAATAAAGATGTGCTCAGATTGATGTCAGTGAAATAATACAAGCTTTTGTGATAGCATCTACACCCAGTCATTAGAGAATTGGAGTTGTTCAGCCTGGAGAAGAGAAGGCTCTGGGGAGACCTTGTTGTGGCCTTCCAGTACTTAAAGGGGGCTTATAAGGAAGATGAGGACATAGTTTTTAGTAGGACCTGATGCAATAAGGTGAGGAGTAATGGTTTTAAACTAACAGAGGGTAGATTCAGGCTAGATATAAGGAAGAAATTTTTTACAGCAAAAGTGGCGAAACACTGGAAAAGGGTGCCCAGGGAGGTGTGACGTGCGGAAAGACAACTTTACAACCAGTAAGGTTATAAAGTTGGCATGTTTATTCATCACTGGGTGCACGGGGGATCACTCCTCCACAGCGTGCGTGCCCTGGAGCCAAAAGTGCCCCCCTTTTATGATGCCAAAGTTACATATTCATTAGTCCTAATACATTTGCATTATAATTCCAGGAATAGGGAGGGGATATTACAATTACCTCCGAGAAATCATTAACATATCCCCCGCCCCAAGTCCCTCCTCATCACGCCTGCGCAATGTCTCTTGGTGGTCGTGGGCAGGGGTCTTCTGATGAAGGCTCGTAGTCTTCTTCACTGCGTTCACTAGCTGACCCGTGCTTTTGACCAGACTCAGTCCTGTAGTTACGCACATCTCGTCCTTCAGGCCTTGCTGGATGCGGTTTGTTCTTAACTTGCAGCTCCTTTCTCTTGGTGACTCAATAGTTCTTTCCTTATCTTCAAGGACAATGGTGGGCTCATCCTGTTTTCTCTCATTCATTCGCAAGGTAGTTATCTAGTTAATGTTTTCTTGAGAAACCATTTGGTTAATGCCCCTTCATTCATACAGCAGGTTGTAGATGCCCCATGCCCAGAAACATTCAGTGTCAGGTTTGGTTGGAGCTCTGAGCAACCTGATCTAGCTAAAGGTGTCCCTGCTCATCGCAGCGGGGTTGGACTAGATGACCTTTAAAGGTCCCTTCCAACCCCAACCTTTCTGTGATTCTGTGATTATTTATAGGCCAGTAGACATTTGGAGCTAGATGAAGCTCTGACTTGAGCATCGTCCCATTTATGCCTGTGTTATTACTCAGGGATAGCTAGCAGTGTGGTGGTCAGGCTCTTTCATAATGGGTTTAAGTGGAGGGATACTTGAGTCCGTGATGCTTTTTGAATTGAGGAGGCTATCAATGAATCCTTTTTTTGATCTGCAGTGATTCCCCTTTACTTGCATTTTACATTTTTAACAGTTCGGTGATATTCTGTGGGGTTATGTCTAGGTTTGTGTACTGTTACGAGAATGGCAGAATCTGGTGCACGTGATGATTTGCTCATTCATTGGCATCAATTGATCTTCCAGAGTTTTTATAATTGTGAGCATCATGCTGGAATCACCCTTACAGGCTGCAGAGGGATTCAAATTTACTGCACAAGCTAAAAAAATACATGGCCTAGTATAGCCCAAAGAGGGAAAAGAAAAAGACCACTCAACTTCCTACAGGTTTTAGGCAGGAGAGGTTTATTTTAAACCGGGCTTGTGGCAAATTAATTTATTGGATGTAGAGATGTATTGTGAGAGCTTCAAAGTGAGTCTTGTCTATTTAGGGGAACAGGACTGACCCCGCAATTCTTTCATTAGGTAGGATTTTCTTAACTAGTAGTAATGTAAGTACAGGTAACAGAGTCTAAGTGATGTTTTTAATCCATCATGTAACTCCACTCAAAACTACCGAATAACCAGAGAGAATGTATCCCAATGTACAATGCATGATAACTAATAACACTATGCAAGTTAAATTTTAAGTGTTTAATGAAAAACATAATTTTATGCGGTTGCCTATGATAACAGAGGCTGGATTTGGTGTCTGAGGAGGGCCATCCCAGTCCCAAATTTTTAAGAATTAATTGCCCTGCAACAAACCAGCAAATGTGACAGTAATCAAAGGAAACGCAGTAATGGAAAGAACGATGGCAAAAAACTGTACATACAGATACATGACCTCCACTATGATAAAGCCAGGAAAGCTGAATACATGCTTGGATTAAATTGTGTGGTTTTGCCACACCACAAAAAGATGCCTATACTTACAGTAATTAAATAATATGTTGATGTTACATTTCCAGCAAAAAAGTGCTCTACATTTTTCGATTATTGTAAGTAATAAATATGAGATGTATTTGGGCTCCATACACATGAAAAATTAAAATCCAGTGTTGTACTGCTCCTCTAAGCAGGTTTTGCAAATTGTGTTAAAAATGAAACAAAGCTGTAGCTATTTAGATAGAAGAAAGTTATTTAAATAGAAAAGGGAAAAAGTAATATCTATTTGCTGAATTCAGGTATTAACAGATTAAATATTTTTCTTTCTATTCCTGTAATAATTGAATGCATGTTCTTCTGCCCCAGTGTTACTGTCTAACAGATATTTTTACAGTACAACAAAATAAATACCTTATTAAGCTGATTTGTTAATCCTTCTTGAAAATACTTACTTTGCTTACATTAATATGCATAAAAACATAATAGGTTCAGGGGTCCCAGGGGAAAGCACTTTTTTTTTTCCCCCTGTTTGTCTAATTCATGTTAGCTTTCTTTTCTTGTAGATTTTTGTTTCTGTTTACTCTCATTCTACTTCTGTGTGAATCGAAAGAGTTAATTGAACTTAACATGTAAATCAAGCCACCTCATCCTGATGAATCAAACCGTGTAGGCGGAGCTCCATCAGTAGGAACATGTAGGAGAAAGGCAGCGCAAGCACATCATGTGCGAGCCCCAGGACTCGGGGTCACGTCCCAAACTACGGCTGGCAAAGCCCTTGGAGAGGGCAGCTGTGCAGGTGGTTCTGCCGGCAGAGATTTTGGACCCGAATCTAAATTTTGCAAGCCAAAAATGCTGTTAAACGTTGTCATGGCCTGGGAAAAGATGAGACGTTCCCAAAAGCTTGTGGGAGCAGAAGGGTTTTTTAGAAGTTATTCTGCTGCTGTGGATTCCCAGGAAACTTTATTCAGTTGTCGGTTCCACCACAGCTTCTAATTTAAGGGATCGGTGGTGGGGACAGGACTATTTCCCTACTTCAGTGGGATTTTGAAGATAAACAATGATGAAAGATAGACGACTAAGAGCTCAGACACTAAAGTCATATAAATAAACAACTACAATATAATAGCAGTGGTAAATAGCTATTTTAGCAGCAGATCCCATAGTTCTCCTTGTATCCACTCTCCACCCAAACTTGCCTAAAGCCTGGGGGGGGGGTGGGGGGGAGTGTAATAATTTCGTGGGAG